AATCAATTTTCCGATTTTTATAGGGAGGCACTTAGCGGTTGGTTTGAAGGGCTCTCAGAATAACGGAGACTGAGGGATATTTAGGTCTGAATAATAGCGCTTTTGAACAGGCATTCAGGCATTGAAAGTGACATAACTTGGGGCATCAGCAGCCAGCTCTGCACAAGCATAGCCCCCTTCTGCCTGACATAAGAGTAACATATATGGGAGCAACATCCACTGAGATCAGAGGAATCGTGATTTTTACCAGGGGCATTAGTTAGGCTGTTAGCCTGGTAGCGAGAAAAGCAAGTAACTGGGATAATTTCCCAACTGACGGCAACACAGGTATCTGAGCACCTGTCTAGGCTTCCCTGGTGACTCAGTGACGTTGCTAGCCTAGCCGATTAGCAGTACCAATACTAGCCCCATTATGGGTTCGCAGCTTGATAGGTTAGGGGTCAGTGCTCATGTGTGGAAGGTTCTGGGCTCAAACCCCGTAGGAGACAGAATAATAATATCAATTTTAGGCCTTTCAGCCTTTAACTCCAACTGGTCCTGGGACGCTGTCCCACCCGACTCTCCTGGCATGTACAGTGCTATCCGCTAAATATCCGCAGCAATGGCTGGAGCGATGCGTATAAAAAGAGTTAAAAGTTAGACACAATCCTCCAGAAACTTCCAGAAACTTCAAATCATTTGCGCGCGTGACGCACTTTCGCCCGTCCATTTTCTTGACGCAGAGAACCCAGATTTATCCAAAGGCAATGCAAGATCTTTTTAAGTGAGGGGAAATATCTTGCTGATTGTTAGGAGAGTGGTTTTGAATATGATAATGAAGATGCTGATTATTAACAAAAAATCTGTCTGGAGTATGTGCGTCCAGGGAAAAAATGCAGGAGTTCCTGGAGGAAATCCACACGAACATAAGAGCAGCGTGCAGTTCCCTCTCAGAGCAATAGGGCCAAGGGGGAAGCCTGCAGTCCTATAGCAATAGTGTAATATATCATTAAGGTGGTGCATGTTATATGATGGTTACAGATTAACCATCATAAATGACAAGTTAACAGTGTGCACTTGCTGAACATTATACGTTCTGTTTAATGCCTCGGCATTAAGTAGAGTGTAAATGAAAAGGAAGCGAGAGAAGCAAAAGTCCCAGGATGGACATAAAAAAAGGAAAAACAACACAGATATGGGTCCAAAATATACGATCTGTTTTTAAAATCACAGCACAGAAGAAGAACCTTGAGCAGGAGCCCCGTCCACATCCGCTAGATCCACCACTCACCTGGAGTTCGAGTTTGTGGAACGTCAGCATTAAACCTTCCGTTTTTTTTTTGTTTTTTTTTTTAATCGTTAAAAAGCTGATGTTTACTCAGCATGCTCTGCAAATCATAGATGAATGAAAATATGACGCCCTAAGGAAGTGAACCGTGAGCACAAGAATCTAAAATGCAAAAAAAATAAAAAATGTCTGCAGGGTCAGAGTGTAGGATAGTGGATGGATGTGTTGGTATCAAGGGCCTACAAGAGAAGTCCCAGAGGAGACGCGTTGTGTTCTTTTTGTCCCCAAACAGCGGCAGTCAAAGGAAGCTTCCCATTGGACCTTTTGATCCTGCAATTTCATCTCCTTCACATTCCAGCTGTCTCCCATCGAACGGGACTTCTGATTCTGCAATTTAATCTTCTTTAAACTCCAGCTGTCTGGTGTCAGTTGTGCTGGAAAAAAAAATGTAAAAAGAAAGAGAGAGAGAATCGAATTTTTCATGTCTGCGGTGCCGTCCTTTAGAAATTACTCCTGCTTTTTTAATTCCGTCTTTTGATTCCAGCTGCGTCTCCCTGCAGGCTCAGAGGAATGCCATGTATGCATCAAACTGGATTCATTAAATTAGTTTTATGACTGAAACCCCGAACGTTAGCCCCAGCGTAACGGTAACGTATGAGGACATATAAAATGAAAAATGTAAGGAACATATTTGAATATATATCACGATATACTGGCTACATTAAAAATACATAAAAAGTGCAGCTTTCCTGTGGAGCCCCACTAACGAATCGTGGATGGAACGGAGGCATCAGACAGAAAAATATAATGCAGAACTCGAGGGCACTCTAGAAAAATCGCCTCTTAACTCTGCATGTTTTTAATTAAGAGCAACTGCCACAAACATCTCCTAAGCCTTGTGTGTTTTTAATCATAATGAAGTGCTCAGGTTTTCGGGACGAAAAGCTTTCCAGTAAGACTCTCACGTTGCCAGTGTGGTTGCCGTCTGTGTCCCGCCACATATAGGACGGTGTCTGGTAAAAAGCCGCGTTTCCAGAACCATCACGTAAATGCGCGCGCTGGTGTTATACTGCGCAGCCAGAGGCGGCAAAGCAGCTAGTGCAGGTTAACCTGCAACCAGCCGGCATGTGCCTGGTTGGTAAATTATTCATATGAAACCAGCGTAATCGGTGCAAATAGGTATGTAAATAGGTTATGGCAAAATCAGTTTATACACTCTCCATTATAATGTATATAAATCATATAAACCGCAAAACATATCCCGAAATGTACACTGAGCATTTTTTAAAACCCTGTCTTAATTTGCTACACTAACATATTTACCACGCATCATATATTTTAAAAGGGAACATTAGTAAGTTCTCAATTTCACAACAAAAAAGCGGATAGGCCTATGTATTAATGTTAGTTTTATGTGAGAGCGGACAGATCTAAGATTCTATAAGGCTGAAAGCTTCATTGATCGATGGTTTATTTATTTATTCCTTGCAACATATGTGCTTGTTGTTCCTCTGGTCTCCGTGCGGATACCCCTGTACGGTCTTTGTCAGATTTGTGTCGTCTTCATCGCTAGCGTGTTCCCTGCCCTAACCCCTGACCTTGGCAGCTGGAGAGTTCGCGTCCATTATCTCCGCGGCGAGACAGGGATGGAGTGAGGCGGAATCAGCGCCCGTCTCATTACAGCAATCCGAACACGGCGGCGGGGGGTATAGGCACTGCCAGGTAATCTCTGGCTAATCTGGAAACTTTTCCTTCTGCTCATTAACAGAACTGGCAAAAGCATCAAAGGTGCATGAAAAACAGTTAACCACTGAGCACATTTGTAGTCTCTCTGCCATTCTCCGTGTATGTGTGCAATTGTGTGTTATTGCAAATGTCTGAAAAGGATCAATACCCACAGGAGGCTAGATATGAACAATCAATACAAGACACACAAAGAGAGAGGGAGGGGAAAAGGCATACACTGCCACTCTTACTACAATGCTCTCTCGCCCTCTTTTAGCAAAAGCAGTTTAGACACAATGCATAGCCCAGCCTGTTCCAAACCATGGTTCATCTATGAGCGTTATTACCAGCACTTGAAGGAGACGAATTATTTCGTCAATACTGGGAGTCTTATTGTGACACTTTCAGCCTTCCAAATTGACAGAAGGGAGGGGAGAAACAGACAGAGAGATGGGGAGTCCATTTTGATTGCCTCCTCTATGACCTAAAGGGCTCCATAACGCTGAATACATATGGAAGCATATAGAAAATATATATATATATACGTTTTTACACATTAATAATTAGTACATGTCCGTTTTCCTTCTGTAGCCTACAGGATTTCTAAATACCCGGAGGGAAATTGCACGTTATTTTGAGTGCTGGAATAAGGTCAAAAGGGTAGCCAGTATTTATTGACCTCATTTATGACCAAATATAACACCACGGTGTAATACATGCATTTTGTGTGTTTTGCCATAAAACGGTTAAAAGTCACGGAATAAGTCACGGAATGACTTTTAATTTGAAAATGTTGGAGCCCACGGGAGTGTGAAAAGGAAAGAGGGTGGATCTGGTGAATAGACTCAGTAAAGCTCCTTAAATTAGTGTTTACGTCAACATTTTAGGCATGTTTTAATCTTTGTTAATAGACAATGAAATTTTAAAATTAAACAGTTAGAGAAATTATTCTAGAATTTGTCCACATATATACATTTCATATTATATATATATATATATATATATATATATATATATATATATATATATATATATATATATATATATATATATATATATATATATATATATATATATTATATGCAAAATGTGTACATAGAAAGCTGAAGATTTTTTTTTCTTTCTTTAATACATTTTATAATCTATCCTAAGGGTATGGCTAGACAGCTTAGAGCTATTATTTGCATAGCGCCACCTGGTGGAGCACACTTTTGCTGCTCTAAACAAGAAATGCATCTAAACCATTCGCATTCATATACAGACTGATTTTCAGCGAATGACAATCCCCGGTCAAGCGTGATGTTTCCTGTCAAACGGATTTATACACCCTTGAGATTCATTAATGCGGTCCAATACAAGCGCGCCCCCTCCCCCAGCTCCCGCATCTAGAGTGGGACCACATTCATGGAGTACATACGTCAACACGCAAGATCCGTCGTCGAAGGAAGGGGGAGGGTATTCTGACAGCTAACTGCTCATACTGTGACCCAGGGCTGACCCTACAGCCAGAAAACCATTCGTCCACACTTCCACGGAAAGCCCGACTGACGGATTTCAGAGCTGAGGAACTGAAAGCGGAAAACTGTCTGTCCGCTACCATGTAACCGGCTGTCCAGACCAGTCACAGATCCCCCGCAACTTCAAAAGCAAGCACCTCTACCTTACCCGCAGTGTCAAAGTCCTACACTATGGTCATTTTACGTCTCCTCTTTTTTGTGTCTGAAATGCAAACTTTAATAATTATGAAGATACTGATAATTCATGTAAAAGCGCATTTGGAAGTTAAAATCGACTTGAGATTGCGAACTGGGTTGGCCGACTGGCCGAGTGTCTGCGGTTTTGACGCGGGGGGGGCGGGTGGTGCAGCCGAAATCCCTGAGAAATGTTCGTTTTGGATCCCTTTCTTTGCTTACATACCTCCCTCACGCCCTCTCCCTCCCTCTCCCCTCTCACTCACTCGTTCCTGTTATTCTCCCAAGTTCTGAAACGCAAAATCAGACCCCAGCGCTTTCAAAGCAGCTGGGGCAAAAGCTTCCTGCGTTAAGGATGATCGGTAGTCCGTACTAATCTCTCTCTTTCTTTCTTTCTTTCTTTCTTTCCCCTTTTCCTTTATCTCTGCGTTGTCCAGTTGGTGTCAGCCCGCTGAGGTAGAAAAAGGTATTCTTTCGTTTTCACAGAAACTCGCTCTCTTGTTTTGTTCAAGTAACATTGAAACAAACGAGAGGTTTGTGGACCGCTTATACAGTTTTACTTATTTTTAGTTGCAGCACGCTACAATGAGAATCAGCATCATACATGAACTAATCTCATTTGGATCCAATAAATGTGTAGGAGAAAGGGAGAGAGGATGAGAGAGCGAGAAGGAGGGAGGATGCGAGAGAGAGGAAAGGGGAGGATTGATCTGCCCGCTGTTAAAATCTTGTACTGTTTTCACTCGGAGTGAGATCTAAGCTTGCTGACTTGCTTTTTCTGTCAAAGGTCTTATTTGGAAAAAGAAATCGAGGAAAAAAATATTCACGTTTCATGACACATATTAATAGTTAATATAAGTGACAGTCGAAATTATTTCACTGAATGGAATTTTTTATTTATGTTTGAGAAAAGCATCGAGGCTGACAGAAAACGGAGACGGGGCAGGTTTTAAGAGGATCTGCCCATGCTTTTAAACGGACACCGTTCGTATCGGACAGATTCTGGGCAAAGCGGAGACACCGACAACGCACCCAACTTGAAACTTCAGAATCACAGTCTTCACTCTTCTACTTGGAATTTTGGGAGCTAGTAGTTGAACTGTACAAATTTCACCGTGCAAGCATAAACAACAACAGAAAGAACTCGCATGACATTTTTTCCTCCGAAATTTTAAAGGGTGATGTCATCTGCGTGTTTTTGGGCTGGTATTGTGCTGGATCTCAGTGAGAGTCGCCGACAGGCAGCGCGCCGCGTACAGCGCTGCGGATCAGGTGCGGTGCGGATTTATCCCCCGCACACTGCCGCCGCGAGTAGCTGTATCCGCTACACCGACAAAGCTGTCGCTATACTCTCTCTGATCGTTTATTAAACATCCTCTAAGCAGGACCTTGCCCGTGGTCTCAGTGATGTCTTTTGGCAATTGCAGGTCTCAGTGCCAAAAGCCTTGGACTCGCCGACCTTTCCGGAAGGCATAACCATGACTGCTTCCACCGAGCGGCACTTGGAGCCCGCAGACCCATCGCCTTTTTGCCGTCCTCATCTCTACGCCGGCCAGGTTTTCTCCCTCCCGCGGCTACTGATCTCGCATCACAGGAACTAGACCAACTCCCTCTCCCCTTCTTGCCACCCCCACCCCAAGCCTTTCCTATTCATAAAACTCATTCCTCCGTATGCCTGCTTTCTTTTTCCTCCCTTTACGCGTCAACCCGTAGCAGGTTATTTTTTTAATTTGCAAAATCATTGTAAACTGAATTTTTAAAAGGGGAAAGTATATATTCAAAACGGATTTATAAAGACAGAGGAAGCGGTGCAGAGTCTGCCCCAGCGCCGGACAACAAGATATTAGCCACAGCGGAAGACTGTCATTCACATCCTACCCTTGGAGCATCAGTGGCGAACTGGCTACTCCCATCGCAACCCACCTGGCGACCTTATGTTTCAAACGACCAAACTCTTGCGAAAGACTGGGATATAAGCCAGCTGACTATGGAATTAAAGTGAGCAAACTCTTTTATTGACACCGCGTGGTAATCAGTTATTGCCCCTCTTCTCTCGGCACTAAAAGTCCCTGTCAGACGGCTCTCCGCGGAGTGCTGCTTATTCAGCTGCAACCACAGTGGCACAAGCGTCCCATCGGAACACACCCCACCCCCGTGTTCAGCCCGACCAAGGGGCCCGCCGCTTACCGCTAATGCGCACGGGACTGGCGGCTGGCCACGACGTCCCTCCATCCACCGAACGGATTCATAATCGGACGCTTATTCCTAGGAGGACGGCACAGCTAAACGGTTCTTCCTGGCTCAGATATTTCGAATCCACCGTGGGAACAGACGTGCGCTGAAGCTTCACGGTCGCTTGGGGGAGCGATGCAGTCCATTCTCTCCGCCTTGACTTTCTTGTAAGTTACTCCACTATTACTGTAACATAAACGGCGGTTTACTCTGACCAGTCACCACCTAATGCACAGACATGTTAAGTTATTTCCTACTGTAGTCCTGAGGGCTATGAATCACTGGTTATAGCAGATGACTCTAGACATGAGGGTTGTGGGTTAGCACGGAGTAGCGGTTACTGCACTGGATTCCAGATGTTGGTTAGTGTGGAATAGTGGTCAGGGTACTATATTCCAGCTGTGAGGGTAGCGGGATGGTGTGCTGTTTAAAATGGCACAGTGTGATATTACAGATGCTAAGCACCAGGTTTCTGATTATTTGGTGATTTCAATTGTACAGAACCTTAAGTCTATCCCAAATTTCTTGACAATTTTTTACACCTCTTTGGAGAGTCCTGTATTGTGCAAGTAAAAACAATTTATACCACAATTATTCTTGTGATATTTTGTCAATTTATTTATCATTATCAGTATTTGCAATTAATTGTTTAAAATCATGGGAGTGCCGGGAATGAACTAGCAATGCTCAGCGACTAGCTGTCCAGTGACAGATCCAATGGCAGCAGCATTGCAGCTAATAACTTCCTGCATATATGATGTCTGAGGATAACAGAGGCACTTCATAGATACAAGGAAAGTCAATGGGGTGACCTCAGGATGCAGTGGGCATTGGCACATTTGGACACGAACAGGAAGTGCACAAGTACCCACTCAGAGTACAAGGGACGATGCAGGGCTGATTAATACCTAGTTGACAAGATAATCGATCCAGGCTTTTAGGAATATTTTTAAGACTCAAATGCTTGGCAGGAATCTGAGTTTCCCCAGTGAGGAGGCGGCAGGAGAAGCTTGATATGGAAAAATGGACGAGAGATGACAGATGCTGGGACATGTTCTCTCAGAGTTGACATTATTTTGTGAGCTTTTCACCAAAGCACACCGACAAGAGACTCACAGAGCTTAAGGACACTACTCTCTTTTATAACTCATTCCAGTCTCTCCTTCTCTTTCAGATGTATTCAGACATTGCTGGTGGTGAACAATCCTTTACAGGTAAGAGCCTCTGCAAGCATGTATCCAAGTGGAGATTTGCGGTTACTGGTGCGTGCGTGTGTGTGTGTGTACACTAACACCATAACTGTGGGGTGGGGGGGGTTTGCAGGTGTTCGGCAGGGATGGCGTCAACTTCAGTGTGCACGTAGAGAACCAGACGAGGGCTCGAGACGCAATGAGCCGGAGACAGCACCGTGTTTATCAGCTGTACAGCCGCACCAGCGGTAAGCACCTGCAGGTGCTGGGCAGGAAGATCAGCGCCCGCGGAGAGGATGGAGACAAATATGGTAAGGCACGTTCCCACCAGCTTCCACTGGAAGGGCACGGGCTGCATGTGTGGCAGGGGGGCATCAGTCAGTCATCTGCTGGAGCTGCATTATTGTCCTTTCCGCTAAAGATGCTAATACGACATTTAAACCAATACTGTTAAACAGTACACTTGACATGGTTACAGAAACCCTTAAGAGCCTTTCTAAAGAATCCTAAAATATATGGATCGAGAGAGACAGCAGGTCATTGGTTTGAGCTTGTTCCTCTGCTCATTCTTAAACTCCATTTTTAAGTGTTATTTAAAGTCTCAGCGTAATAAAGGTTTGTGTATGCAAGTGGCTTACTTAGTCTTCATGTACTGAGTACATAACTTTACACAGTCTCGACATGCAATTAAGAGAAAGCAGGAGTTTTTAACTCCTGGGAGGGGTTTTAACCTAAGTTCCAGTCTATGACATGAGGCTGAACAGCAGCTTCCTCCTCTACCCGCCAATGGTTGGATCACGTGTATTCCGTGCCATAGCCATCCTTCAACCCTCCCTCCCCTCCTTTACTAATATCACGCCCCCTTTCTGTCCGTCCGTCTCTTCACAAGCCCAGCTCGTAGTGGAAGCCGACACCTTCGGCAGCCAAGTGAGAATACGTGGCAAGGAGACCAACTACTACCTGTGCATGAACCGGCGAGGGAAACTTGTGGGCAAGGTGAGTGAGGAATGGCTGAGCATGTCTCACAATACTGTAAACAGATAGAGCTTCACCTATAGGGGTCATCCTTTATTTCGGGGTGGAGATACCATACCTGGCATGACAACCACACTGACTCTCATGGTATTGCTGCACGCGTTCCCCAGAAGGCGAGCAATCGCAGCGCTGACTGCGTCTTCGTGGAGAAGGTGCTGGAGAATCACTACACAGCGCTGATGTCGGCACGCTACGCCGGGTGGTACGTGGGCTTCACCAAGAGGGGGCGCCCTCGGCGAGGACCCCACACGCTGCATAACCAGCAGGACGTGCACTTCCTGAAGCGCTTCCCTCCGGGCGAGCAGCCCGACCTGCAGCCTTTCCGCTTCACCACCGTCAGCAAGCGGAGCAAGAGGGTGCGAGCGGCTGGCGACCGCTAGCGAATCTGGCTGAAGCACTCGGCCACACAAACACACATGCTACACGCACACAGACATACACGACCCACCCGTTAGAGAGTCATCACACAGATCAGGACGTGAGTGGATGAATTCACACCGCCAGTGAAGCTTTGTTATTGCGCAAGGTTCCTTGCTGGAATGGACCAAACCATATGAGTAAGACACAGGAGACCAGGAGCAGAATGATAGGGAGAGAGAGCCTAGCAATGGTTCAGACCAGGACCCTGTTCCACCACGCCACAGACTGAAGGGGAAAGACTTAGCACTGGAAGACAAAATTCTCAGTCAGATGGACAAAGCCCCAGGAGATGGACAAGCGCTTCAGGAAGATTATAAAAATTAAAAGAAGAGAAAGCTACGGAGTGGTAAAGGGCACTCATCTCTCCCCAGCTCCTGATTACATGTGTAAATAAGCATGTTAGGTGTGACTTAGGCCCTCTGGGAGGAGTGCTTGTTTACAACCACACCACCTCGCACCTGGTGAAATGACACTCAGACTGCAATATGAAAGCCAAGCTGTACCAAAGCCTAGACTCGCCAAAGACACCCTGGATACCAAAGAGGTGTTATTACACACACCTGCGTACGTGTGGGACGGTGACAGGGCGTTTTGTCCCAGCACAGTGGACAGTGCTGGTACTGGACATCAAGTGGATTACCACAGCCTCGTACTAAGTGGACCAAGTAGACAAACAGTAGCATTATTATTATTGTTATTATAAAACTATTTATTTTCACCTCTGTATATTGCAGTCATTTTAAGGCTATTTTGATTTATTAAAAAGTTAATGTTTTATTGCATATAACTGATGTCTACAAGTTGGCTCTGTGTTACATTTCGACTTCCCCAGTAAGAACAGGAAGTCCAGGCCTGATCGTTATTGCAGTGGGTAGAATCGGTTGGATGAATCGCTCCTCCAGCATTCGGGAGGGGGGGAAGAGGGGCATTTTGGATCGACGTAACAATCCCACAGATGTGCTTGTGAAAGCCCAAGTGGAAAAGGTGGAGAGGAGTCACTGCCGGGGGATTATTGTTAGTATGAGTAACTGCTGTGGTGACCTCAAAACTTCAACGTTCTCAGATTAGCTGCTGGTAAGGGAAGGGGGGGAATTAGGACAGAAACGATGAAGTTGCGGCTACTTCGGTGAATGGAAAGACAGACAGCAGTTTTCTGGGGGGGAAGAGGGGGCACAGACTTACAAATCAGTGAAGCAAAGCTTCAAATGAAGGGGGAGGGGTTTAAACCTTTCATCAGAAAATGATGTCACCAAAATATGCACTGCACTGGCTCGGAACACCACTGCATTCAATTACTACAACTTAATGCTCTAAAATGGCAACAGCATCATTATCAGACTCCTAAACTACTTGTGTACAAACCTAAAGCAATGCTTCCCAAGCTAGGTCTCTGGGAGCCACGGTCTCCATGTTTTTGCTCCCTCCCATGTTTTTGCTCCCTCCCAGCTCCCGGTAGAGTAAAAACACGGACAGTCTGCAGGTCCCTGAGGACTGGATTGGGAAACAGTGGTAAAGGTTCAAACTGGGTCCCCGGGTGTAGCACCAGTGAGGAAGGTATTTAACGCCAATCACTCCCATATATCATCAAGATGTATAAATGTATAAGTGTTCTAAGATGTTTTGAAAAATAATATTGACTAAGCAATGAAAGGATAAGGTGTTGAAATGTTATGAAATATTACAACTGGTAAGATTACAGATGCTGCTAAGTATGACAAAAAAGCAAAATACTGCCAAATTAAATCCACAGTATTTTTTCCATTGATGAAATGAATCTTTTCTCAACGCACAGTTCTAAGTCCGGGGGTATGCATTTATCGCCACCTTGTGGCCAAATCACATAGCGTATGTGTATGTGTGTGTATAAGTACTGGCGGCTTCTGCAAGGGATCAGCTTCCCCAGCTAATTTAACAAACCACACTATAGAAAACACCTGGCAAATGTAACCCATTAACATAGCGGTAGATACATCCAAGGGCTAAGGAGAGAGTAAATATTGGGGGCACATGCCCCCCCCCACCCCCCCTAGTTCAAACTTCCCTAGATATAATTACCACACCTGGACAGAATGTCTCTCAATGGACTATGGAACTACAGGAAGTACAAGTTACTAGCCGGTCATTAGCTACATGTGCAAAGCTGTGACTCTGCATAAGGATTTAAGGTTTTTAGGTCCCTTTTATCTGTAGCACGGCAGAGCACAAGAAGCACTAGCCAGGCAAAAACCTAGGAACCCAGGTCCAGACAAAACAAAAGGCACCAGAAATCAACACACCCCGACATACGTCTGCAACCCTCGCGTACGAGAGGACACCATTATTGGCCAAAGATCAACAGACATGCTAGGAGATGAGCATGAACACTGCAAGACAAACTGGAAATACCGAACACACGAACACACACACACACACACACACACACACACACACACACACGAGTCAAAATCACTTAAAAGGCGTTGGGCAGCATGACCAAACCCTCACAGTCAAGTACTTTATTCTTAATAATGTGTTTTTTTTTTCTTTAAAAAAATCATTTCAATATACAACACAATTTCTGACAAGACAAATTCTGTTTACAGCTAAATTCAGCTCCAAGATACAGACCGTTGAAAACCTAAGCAGGCAGACAGCAAGAATGAAAGAGAAAGGGGGGGGGGGGGGTTAGGGGAAAGCAGGAAACTACAATGTTTAGTACAATATTACAAAGAAAAAGACATTTTGGAATTTAAAAAAAGGAGGGGGGGGTAAAGACGTGGGGGGTGGGGGGGCAGCGTGAGATGCTGGGCACATGCAGGGTCTCCTGGGGGGTCTGTGTCCCTTTGTGCCACAACAGGATGTCCAGACACAGGAAGTCTGGACACTGTGCATCTTAGAACCGGAACTCAGAACAGAGAAGCCCCTTTCCCAAACCCCCATCCCCCAGCCCCTTCCAATGTCTTCACTGGCGCTGCGGTGGCACCTGCCCCACGCTCACTCAGTCTGGGAGCCTCGCAGCCCCCCCCACTGACCCACCAGTGTGTGTGTGTGTGTGTGTGTGGAGGGGGGGCCAGGCTCTGTTTGTGGGGCTGATACAAGGGCTGAGAGACACCCAGACAGTCGGAGAGAAGATGGAGAAGGGGAGCGAGGAGGAGGAGGAGGAGGAGGAGGAGGAGGCTATGTCCACTCGCTGGCCTCCCATCTCCCACACAGACACAGCCAATCACCAGACAAACCTTCCAGGACACACCGCACCTGCCGCCATGTTCATCCTGCAGGAGAGAGAGCAGTCAGCGGTCGAGCCTCAGAGCCCAGAGTCGCACGCGTACACTAGCAGCTGGCACCTGGAGACACAAGCAGAGGCCGACGGGGGCAAGCGTGCACATACCTGCTATCTGGAGATGTACGTGTAGGTGCGTGAAGGCGATCGGCCCTCTGTCTGGCCGTTCGGCGAAACGTTCAGAAAGTCCCAGATGAGGATAGTGTCGTCGTGAGAACTGCTGATGATTTGGAACTCGTCGAACTGCAGCCGGAAAACGCGGCCAGAATGCTCCTGGAAAACATCATCGCCGTCATCGCCACCGGCAGCAGCGGCCAACGGTACGTAGTGGTGCTGATTTTAGCGAGAGAACGTGCGCCAAAGATGATGCCAATGCAGTCAGGGGACAAAGAGTGGCTGGGCACAAATTCAACACACACACAGACACACACACACACAGACACACACACACACTCACACACACACTCACCACCAGTGTACGCAGACAAAGCGTGCTGGCTGGGGCTCTTGGGTCCAGAGCAGCTTGCAGGTCCCACACTTTGATCTTCCTGCAGAAACGGTGACAGGAAATGTTGAGTTCCTTTCCTAGACTAACTCCAGGAATGGGTTGGGGGGGGGGGGGGGGCGTGGTTAAGGGTTTAGCCCATGGTGGACACGCATTGCTGGCAAAGCCACGCAGAAAACGCAGAACCAGCGAGGGGAAATAACTCCGCGGGGAATAACGGTCATTAACACCCAGAGAATAATAGTCATTAAAAAGCAGGGTGCAGCATGCGGTCATTAACAGTCACAGGGGAGCGAGCATTACGTCATGTGTTTGCTTAGCTGCTGCCGTCCTACTGGACAGCACATGGGACTCACAGTATTTACCTCACAGACTGTTTGCACAGCTGCTTTTTCACCGAGGCAATTAGAAAAGCACGTTAAGCATTTTTAAGGACGTGGATGGCAGCGGGCACACATGCCCCTCCGATATCCCACAAAACAGCAAAAACACCCAAACAAGCTTTATAAGAAAATGATACGCAGGACAGAAAATCCCCGTGTGGCTTAGAGGCTGGTGGCGTCAGGAGCTCACCCGTCATATGCCCCGCTGACGATCCTCTTGTTGTCGAAGCGAATGCAGCGGACCAGCTCTTCATGGCCTTCCAGTACACGCAAACACGCCCCACACTCGATGTCCCACAAACTGCAGAGATAATGTGCTGCTAGACATGGTGCTCAACAGCCCGCAGAGGGAGCTCAACATCTCTCTCTCTTCCTCTCTCTCATGCGCGCGCACACACACACACACACACGCACGCACACGCACACACACGTACTGACCGGATAGTGTTGTCGGAAGAACCGCTGACCACCAGCCTGTCCCTATACTGCAGGCACGCGATGCCCCGCTTGTGTCCATTCAAGGTCCGGACAAACTCGCACGTGCTGGTGCTCCACACCTGGGGAGGAACACGGTCACCATGTGAGGACGGACTCAGACAAACCCACCAACAAACCCAAGACTGAGCACAACCCCAAAATGCACTGTGACTGACCAGCCATTGGCCTCCTCACCCTGACCTACAGCAGGCAGATGAGAACGCCGATCCAGCCAATGAAAAGTTGCTCGCAAGGTCGTCATGGTTACGTTTAGCTTACACTGTCTATGCTGGTATCCACGGGCAAGCCATGCCCCCCAATTGGCAGGTATTTCAGTGCTACACCTAAGAGACCACAAGGGTCATGCCTCAAAGGTCAACAAGAGGCACCAGTGGTGAGTGACAGAGGCGGCAGGGCTGGGGAGGGAGTCATCCATCCATGTGAAACGAACAATTTCACAAACGTCTTTCAAAGTGAATAAATTACCAATCTGAGCAGACCCACCTTCTTCCTGAAATAATTCCCCCCCTTATTTAAGCTGTCTGCGAGTGTTTTCATACGGCAGGAAAGCATGTGTTGGTTGGCCAGGGGGAACAGGGGACCTGCTGGGGCTCGGGCTGAATTCCCAAACGGTGACTGGGACGTCACCTGCGCCAAGTCACTGCTCCCCGAGGCCAGCAAAGCAAAGACACAAACTCACAGCAGCAGCAAATTCAAAGAACAAGTCACCAGGAAAACAAAGCCTTTACAGGAGTTGGCTAACCTGGGCTGACCAAGTAACAGCCACACAGAGTCACGTTAAGAAAAAAATAAGACTAGTTTTAAGACACTCCCCCCCCCCACCCAACCCCACCCTCCGGCATCATGCATCATGCCAATGCTTCCATAACACTGCCACCTGGTGGCACATCCATAGAAGATAAAAAATACTTTCATTTGGATGGCTGAATTTGCCAAGAATACGGGGGGTGGGGAGGGAGAGGGAAAAAAAACAAAAAAAAAACAGGAGGCCTGTCTGGCCTTGCACCCCCCCAGGCCACCAGCACCCAGACTAAACTGCATCACCTTCACACAGGGTGTCCTGCCATACTCTGCAATCTATAAAAACCATCTTTTTAATCCACCGAATCAGTCCGTGAAGGATGCCCCCCCCCCCCCAAAAAAAAGCAGATGGTGCCGATGATGAATAGCTGATCTCACAGGTTTGCATCCAGCGGGCCTTCAGACGAGGCACGTGGCCTTAACGGCCCCTGCTGAACATCTGCACGGACAGCAAGCTCTGTAAGGTCAGTCTGGATACAGCCGTCTGCTAAACAAATATGTAATTCCTTTCTCTATTTATTTGCTTGGCAGAAGCAATGGAAGGTATGTAACCACAGCCTCACATAGCTTATAATATTACAACATTACCCTTCCCTATTTATACAGCTGAATGCTAATATTTTACCCCACCAACTCACCACTGCCAACTTATGGAGGTTTTTTTATATTTTTTTGCAAACTTCTTTCCACTGGTACAACCAACAAAGAAATATTAGCAGTGTCAACGATTAATGCAAATACATATTTAAGCGGTTAAAGGCATCCAAAAAGGATAAACACCGTCTTGCTTTAACAAGTACCCTAAACTTTGACTGGCCCAGTGCAAATGTCAAAATGATTTTTACTCATTTCCTACACCGAGCAGATAGACGAAGACATTTTAAAATAAACATATAAAATGCCCCAAGCTTGTTTATGTTTCTCTAATACGGAATCCGCATGTAAATATTTGAGAATTATGGAGGAAGGACGAAGCGCGGAGATGTTAAGAAAGCAGGCAGGCTGGTGGTGGCAGACTGGCCTTGATGGTGCGGTCCCCGGAGGCGGAGACGATGTACTTGTCGTCAAAGTCGACCACGTTGACGGCGGCGCGGTGTCCGACCAGCACGCGGCGCAGGCTGATGTCGGTGGGCGAGGCCATGTCCCACACGGCGATGGAGCGGTCCTTGGAGCAGGTGACCATCAGGCCGTTGCAGAAGCGCAGGTGCAGGACAGCCTCGTTGTGGTGGATAAGGGTGTTAAGCACCTCTCCGGAGCTCACGTCCCATACCCTGGAGGTGAGGAGGGCGGGGGGGGGAAGCTCGGGTCACACACAGAGTTACTCACCGGCAGTTAAAAGGACACCAGCCGGGTCCTGACCAGCTGAAACGATGTCAACGGAAACAAGATTTAATGGCCAAAGGCAGCGGGATATACCGTATCCATAATACTCAAATACTAATGATGATACAGCACAGAAAAGATAGCCAACAGCAGCAAAAAGATAAATTAAAAAATAAATTTTGGAATTTAAATAGCTTCACAGTGTCATGTACTGTACCGGGCACATGCAATGGCTGCTTAGACCAGAACAGTACGACCCAGTTTGACATCAATAAGATGTTTGTTAAAACTCACAACCTCAGCAACACTTAACCCCAACACCATTCATTTTAGGGCAGCAATGATGGAAGCTCCTGCCTTTGGTCTTTGACCCCCCCCCCCCCAAGCTGAGACTGCCCCAGTCACCACAGCGTCTCACCGGACGGTTGAGTCAGAGGAGCCGGTGACGATGACCCTCTCGTCATACTGCAGGCACAGCACTGAGCCTGTGTGTCCTGTCAGAACCTTCAGGCACTCCAGGGTCTGCTTGTCCCAGATCTGTAGGGGCAGCGGGGGGGGGGGGAGATACTGAGCTGGGGGCAGGCAGGCTAACTCACCCCCACGCCCCATTCGCATACGAGCACACACCCACCTTAATGGAGTTGTCCCTGAGCCCGCTGATGATCTTCTCGTCGTCATACTGCAGGCAATAGACTCCCTTACTGTTCTCCGAGCGACACTGGATTCTCTGCAGGTTGTGCCTCCCGCATCGCCAGTTCGCCTCGATCGTCTGGAGGAGAGCAGGCGCTCAGGGTCACGGTGGTAAGGGCAGAGAGGCCGACTACACCCGCGGAGAGGAAACGGGGAGATGCGAGCAGTTGGAACGCCACCCTGACTTACCTCGATGTCCTGGATGATTTTGGGGTACAGAGAGTGGTAGTATGAGTTTGGCGGAACTTCTGTCGTGCGGTTCTTGAACAGATGTTTTTCCCTGCAGGGAGGCAGACAGAAACATTTCAGGCCTCCGGTTCCAGGGAAACGCAGCCAAGGACATAGGGATAAGTCTTCTCATATGAAGTCACGTCCGTAGTCGTACTGTGAGGAGAACTGCCCCTCCCCAGCCCCAAACAGCTTCCAGCCACCCGAGAATACTATTTGGGAGACCACCCCCAACAGGAAAACATGATTATTTCACTTCCTCCAAAAAGCAGGTAAGTTGGGAGCCCTAAGCAACTGCCCACAGCTAAAGCCGGCCCTGCCTGAAAGCTCCGCCTCCCCAGCCCTGCCTGAAAGCCCCGCCTCCCCAGCCCTGCCTGAAAGCCCCGCCTCCCCAGCCCTGCCTGAAAGCCCCGCCTCCCCAGCCC